TGGCGTTCTTCCTGCAAATTCTAAAGTCCGGCTTCGCGAATCAGATTTAAACCTGCTGGCGGCAAATGGAAAGCCTATCACCACATACAGTAAAAGGTACGTCTACCTTAACGTGGGTTTACGCAAACCCATACACTGGATCTTCTTTGTTGCAGATGTTTCTATGCCAATCATTGGTATAGAGCTTCCACAACGGCATAATCTACCCATTGATACGGGCAAACGGAGGTTAGTATATGGAAATACTAATTTGTCCGTTCGCGTAACTTCTTTTTCTAGTTGAAGCGCCCATTTGCATCGCAGTAGACGCATCCGACTCAGCGATCGGAGGAGTCTTACAACAATGGGTTAGCAACTCCTGGCAACCGTTGGCATTTTTCTCTAGACGGTTGCTAGACACCGAATCGAGGTACAGCACATTCGGTAGGGAACTCCTAGCTATGTATTGTGCTGTACGGCATTTTCAACACTACATCGAAGGTCGTGAATTAATCTTTTCACTGACCATAAACCGCTCACCTCTCTAAGCCCTCCTTCAGACAAGTACTCACTACGTGAGTCTCGACAACTGGACTACATTTCGCAGTTTACTTCAGGTATTCGACATATTTCTGGAGTAAACAATGTAGTTGCAAACGCCTTGTCTCGCATAACTTCCTTGAACAGTTTCCAAGGAATCGACCTTCTTAAACTCGCCGAGCTTCAAAAAGAAGACACTGATCTTCAGCATGAGTTATCGTCCACAACCCTTAAACTACGCATCAAACAGATGGGAACAGGTAAGGAAACCTTACTTTGAGACACATCTACAGGTAGGGATCGCCCAATCGTGCCGAAACGTTATCGACGCAACGTCTTCAATATGTTGCACAAACTTTCACATCCAGGTGTTCGTGCAACCATCAAGCTTATAGCAGAACGGTTTTGCTGGTCTGGCATGAATAAAGACGTGAGGGAGTGGGCACGCTCCTGTGTAAGCTGCCAAAAATCTAAGGTTATCAAACACAATAAATGTCCTCCAGGCTCGTTTAAAACTCCCGATGCTCGTTTCGACCACGTTCATCTGGATTTGGTAGGACCTTTACCAGATTCAAATGGATACTCTTATCTCTTAACCTGCGTAGACCGTTTCACTCGATGGCCAGAGGCAGCACCTACCAAGGATATCACTTTTGAAACAGTGGCCCGTGCTTTCGTCCAACGATGGGTAGCAAAGTTCGGCTGCCCTTCAACCATCACTACAGGTCGTGGACGCCATTTGGAATCTGAACTTTTCCGTTGTCTGACTGCACTATTAGGAATCATTCACTTGCGAATGACCGCCTACCATCCACAAGCAAACGGGTTGGTAGAAAGCTTTTGCCGACAACTAAACGCTTCACTATCAGCTGCAAACATTCCTCAGTAGACTGACGCTGTTCCAGTCATCTTACTAGGTACACGTAATGCAATGAAAGCTGAAATTCAATACACTGCGACTCAACTCGTTTATGGAACGACAATTCGGCTTCCAGGAGAATTCGTGGATCCTTCATCCTCTTCAATGAACATGGATCTAACCTCCTACACGAACAGGCTTGCAAACGCAATGCGTTCAGTTAAACCTGCTTCCACTCGACCTCAATCAACTGATGTTTTCGTTCAATCTGACTTGCGATATATTACACACGTCTTTGTTCGTCGAGACTCACATCGACGACCTCTCGAATCAGCATACGAAGGATTCTTCAGAGTAGTTCAACGCGAACCCAAGTACTTTATAGTCAATAAGAACGGAACCAACGATAAAACCAGCATCGATCGCCTCAAAGCAGTGTGTTTACAATGCAATCCTATTCACGTCAATTTTTCCTCGGTACAATAGCACGGCACGACTCTCACACCTATAATACCTTATCCGACAGCCAACACACACGATGATATTTCTACAGTATCAGAAAATAAACTTAAAACAACGCGTTCTGGAAGAGTAGTAAGATTTCCAGAACATTTGGACGATTATTGCACGTAAGATACTAGTTGACATTTTATATCGTCTCGATTTTCCTTCGTACTATATATAATATTTAAAATTTTAATATGCTTATATATTCATATGTTTATTTAAAAAAACCGTATTATAAAAATCTTTTTTTTACGCTATAACGTGTACATGAGTTTATGTTTTGCATTTTTTCGCCCGCTTTGTGTTTTACGCGCGTACGAGTGCATTTCAACATGCACTTGCACAGTTTTCGGGGAACTGAAATTTTCATTGTACTTTTTCTTTTTTTACTATATTGTGTACTTCATGGTCCCTTATAGTAAAGAAAGACGACCAGACGCTGCTAAACCTAGCAAGCTATCAGAAGAGTGTCTCCCAACGGCAAACTCGTTAGGGTCATCACTACCCCACTAGAGGGGAGTGATCTGTAGCGGTAAATAAATCCCCAAAATAAATAGCTCTGTAGGTTTTCGACATTGGATGCTGACCACATTGGTTTTAATGTTCTCATCTTGCTGAAAGCGCTCGGTCGTGCATCCGCACCAGAGCACGAGTGGGAACGCCGTGCTCAACAACCCCTGCAATCGCCAGACAGATTAGATCAGACGATCCTCAATATATTGATAGCCTATCAAATATATCTTCGAACATCCTCGCTTCTGTTTTTTGATTTCACTTTATGGGTACGATTCGTATTAGGTGTTACTGGTTAAAGCGTTATCAAACTCCGAATACCTATGGCATCTTCAAAGCAGGCAGTCAAAAAAGTGATAAACCTGACTAATTTGACTCGAGGTGACCAGTTGTACATATATAGAAATGTCTTATCATTATAAACTGAAGCTATTATCATGCTATATGAAGTGCTTCTGTATATTCAAAGATCGTTTATTCATTTAATCCCTTCTAATTTCAACTAAATTCTCATCCACAGTTGTAGGAATTCAATCACGTAGGCGATATCTCGTCGAACAAGTTTTACTAGTACTACCAAAGTATATTTCAAACAGCTGAACAGTTGTTTCGGTGAATAAGGACGAATTTTGTGTCGAATTAGTATCCTTCATTGAATAACGAAAGTTTGAGTGACAGACGACAGGGTTAGTTGCACAGGTGGGTCCGTAGTGAACAAGAACACAAGTTGTTTCAGTCAAATGCATTTGAATACAAAGTTATAGAATATCTTGGTAAAATTTGAGAACCATACAGTGAATAACTCATTTGCAAACTGTCAACCAATCGTCTCAGAATTCATTGTTCTCTCGTTTCCACACAAATCATTCTCCGTTCTTGTTCTCTTCTCTGATCATAAACTTCTGCCGCCAGGCAATTCACTTACAATTCATGATACAGATTCTGATTGAGATTTGTGTAGTAAGGACAGAAGGCCTACGGCCTATGATATTCCTTATCTAGTATGCTTCTCTAAGTGTCCAGTCTTCTCTTGAATGAGTCAGTTGAAGGTGCGGAAACCATTGCTTTGGGTAACGTGTTCCAAGTATGTTGTGTATATTGTAGTGAACATGGTAGTATTCAAATTAGTGAGTGTCCGCTGTGAAGTCGGGAGGGTTTTAAACCCCATAGCTGCGACTTCTCGGGAATCGGCCGTGGACTCATGATTATGGCTCACTGTCACCCCAAGATCCCTATGAGACCGGACCACGGGTACTGGTGCTTCCCCTATTGTGTACTTAATAATCATTATATCGCCCAAGTGCATGTAGACTCACACCGTCTCCATATAAACGGTGCTGTGAGCCATTATCACGTTGGTCGTGTAAAGAATGTTGTTCTATCAAATCTCTGCTGATTCTAGAGGTGATCGAGATGCTAAATACAGGTAGGAAATCGCCGTCTGATAAACAGGCAGCAGCAGATGAACAGAACTCTGCTTTCGAGGAAATTGAGAGCATTATTCTGAGCCCAGCTCTAGACTTAAATAAGACCATAAAGATGGACCTCATCAGGGAAGTATATAAGCATATGGGTGAAAGCATTGTTACAAGGAGAAAAAAGAAGCGCGCTGAGTAGAAGAAACTACCTATTGACAGTGCTGAGGCATGTGAACCTGTGGGTTCAGTTCCGGATCCACAAATTAATGTAACACAAGCTTTGGGGGAGCCACGTCTGAGCAGTGTAGAAGTGATAAAGAGACAAAGCAAGATAAATGAGAGGCTCTCAGTCACACCTCGGAAAAAAAGTAAGAAAACAGAACGTAACCTCTGCGTTTGACGTTGAATTAAAATCGGATTGCAAGGAAGAGACGGTTTCAGGAACTAATGTTCCACAGAGTGTCAAGACAGACCTCATTGAGAGGTCAGTCATTGTTCACAAGCTAAGAGAATCTTCCAGTAAGGAACCAAAGGCTAGATTTCAGCACGACCTCAGTCTTATCAAGTACTTATTGGGCCAGCTACTCGCAGAAACAGTTTCAGGAGTTAGCGTCTGTAAGCTTTATAGAATAAGACAAAAGGGGGATTCTGAAAGTATTCGGAAACGCCACATCATGAAGGTCACCTTTGCTATGGTTGAAGAAAGAAACCTAATACTCTGTAACTCACGTAAACTGATTGGATCCGGAGTATACGTCCGTCAGGATCACAACATAGCTGGTCGTATTAAGAGACGAGCTGCACAAGTTGAAATAAACGTGTGCCACCAAAACATTAAAAGAAACCTCGTCCTTAAGGGTCTTCAGATTGTGAAATTTCAAAGCAAAACGATTCCAAAACCACTCTGGGTGATAACACAAAGTTCTTCACAAAACTAAAGGTATGCTACACAAACACTAGCAGCCTACTAAATAAAATGGCGGAACTCAAGACAATGATGGATAAAGAGAAACCGGATTATATTGCTATTTCAGAAACATGGTTAACGTCAGAAGTATTAGATAATGACACACAGTTGACAGGTATTTCATCCAGTAGGGCTGATAGATTGAACCGTATGGGAGGTAGGGTTATTCTGTGCACCAAAAGGACCCCAACAATAACAGCAGTCGAGACAGTGGTACACGTTTCAGGGACATGTGAACTGGTGCGTTGTAAGCTGAAATGTAGACGGTAAGATATTGAATTAGTTGTAGTATCTCGCGGTCCGAAATGTGTAGTACATGATTTCCTCCTAAGCAAAATTATGTCCTGGTGTAATAGGGGCAAAAGCTGTATAGTAGGCGACTTTAATGCACCGTATATAAATTGAGTCAACTTAGAAGTAGGGTAATCGACAATGTCACTCAACTGCAAACTGTTTGAAACCTCCATTGTCCTAGCTTAATTCCAACAAGTTAGAAATCTCACAATATATGAATTCGAAACCCCTCTTCTCTTTTGTATTTAGTCTTCACATAAGGTGATGACGTCGGTCAAATTACTTTCCTCCCACCACTAGGGAGAAGTGACCATGCAGTCACATCACTCAAATTCATGGCTGAGATTGCCTGTCAAACAAATGTGCTGACCTGTCCTAACATATGGAAAGCAGATATGGAGGTAATGGACTCCACAGTATTGGCTGAAAACTGGAAATTGACTCAAGGGCATCAGCGTAAGAGTCATGGACTCATTTCAGGCGGTTATACAGTCGGGTAACTCAATCTTACGTATCCTGGACAGTTCCAAATTAGAAGATGGCCATTCCTGGATATACCGGGATGTTCGACGTTTACGAAGACAAAAGAAATGTCGGAATGTCGCTATCAGCCTTGGCATGGAAGGAAAATAATATATCAAGCAAGATTTAGGAGATCAAGATTTGAGTGAGAGAGCGATATGCGTAGACTGCACCAAGCGTTCAAATAAACACATTGACATGGTTATAATAGCTCTTATTCCAACTCAAGGAAATAAACGAAGTTACTCTGTCGATGACGTTGTCTGTCAGATGAAAGGGATTAACCGTTCTTCAAAATAATCATGAGAGCGTTACTACAGATTTTATTGAATGATATATGTAAATTGGTGATAAACCTTAACTTATGAGGTATCTGTGGTTCTTTGTGCGTCTGGAAGTCTGAAAGCGAAAAGCTTTCTGTAATAATAGCTTTAAGAATGACTGTGACATGCTGAGTATTGTAGTAGTGATAAGCTGGGTCGATTACATATGATTAACACGAAATTAGATTTATGTTCCGAAGATAAGATGTATACAGGCAGAAATAGGAGACCTCAGTCATCATAATGGGCGACCTATGCTCCTTCACGACGAATAACATACGTAAATAATTAAGCACAGTAATTGCTCTGAAACCAATCAAAGTACATCTTATGATATAATATAGGATCTTTTGAAATTAATTATTTTTTACCAGAAAAAGTATCAGATTCACACATGCTGAATTCTAATTCCAAGTTTGCGAACACTGTTTACAAGTTGTTCAGTACTAGAATATTGCCTGTATATTGGAAATCCAATTCATTACAGCTGCTTTTCGAACATCATCACTGATGGTAAGAAGTGGCAGGATTGAGAAGTCGAGATAGAGTTTTTCGTGGATGATCATTCTCATGATGTCCAGAAAAAGCCAACTGAATACAATAATGCTATGTGTTTCGTTACGATTTTTCGGATTCAAAGTGTACTTCATAATTGTCACTATGTATTTACTCTACACATTCATAACTGCTGTTCATACATCGATCATTTTCATGTCAATCATACGTAATAAATATACAAGTGAGAATATACAGTATTCATTTGAAGACAATAAGATGTCTAAACTAAAATGACCGCTTCGATTCACGCTTCATTCTCACTCATTCATTAGACAACAACATCAATGGACTGAATAGTGAATAATAAATCTATAGTGTAAAACAATTCATATCAGCTATCCAATCCACATTGTTCTCTACATTTTCATTGCAACAATTTCTGAAATCTTGTCATCAAAAAAATATGTAAATCACTGATGTACCAAAAATGAGTTGAGATTGTGGAGTATCGCCAAACTGACTATTCACACAAGAATAGGTTCAACTTACAAATGTTACAGGCATCATGTTTTCACGTAATGGCACGAAAATATCAATCCGTATAATCTCATTTGAGTTCTGTGGTTTCAAAATTGTCACTGGTGCACATACGTGTGTTATTTTCATACCATTTGAATAGCTAGTCGATCTTTATAGGCTATGACGTAATTCCATAGATCTGGTCTTTACTATTACCTAACAACATATATGTGTTATTTTAAAAATACGAATATGAAGAACAGAACAAAGTTTTATTAGTTACTGATCAGTAACCATGTGAACATAAAAGTCATATTATAAAAAAAATTTTAAAAAAATCATCAAAACATTAAAAAAACTAGAAAAATACCTGATCACAGAAATAAAAGTGAAATGAATTCTCTCATTAAAATCATTACTAGTCATATATGAATAACAAAATCAATAGTAGGCAATTTGATCATTCTTGTAAGCTAATAAATGATCAACTTTTCTTATTATTAGTCATTCAATGGTGATGTAATATGTCCAAGAAATATTGGTAGACAATTATTCCAAACAATTGAAATAAAGAATGGATGATCAACACGAAATTCGGGTACGGGTTTGTAAGGTTTTACAGCTGCGCATTTTACCGTTATTATTGTTGTAGCTGCAGCCGCCACTGCACCTTTTTCATCCACCTATATATGTATTGGGAACAAAGAATAAATAAACAGAGACAAACAATGAAAGATTCTATTTGTATACTGTCTTGAATAATTCAAAATACACAAAATAATATCACTTAGTTTTTCTATTTATTTATTTAAATACACAAACATTGGTAAAACGAGGCACCAAATAGATATGAGCAACATAAATCATTTAACTTCTGTCAGGGTTGGGATACTGCTCAGGTGCCCATATCGAAGCAAGTAGTTTTCTTATGGGGCCACATCAGGAGCTAGGTGATCACCAACAATACGTTCATACAGCATTTGTTTCCTTAGGTTCTTGGAGCCCATGTGCACCATTGGTTTGGAATCAGGGTATCCAACTCTCCTAGATGGACTCACCGTGTTCAACAATTCAGTAAACAACACCCCCGCCGTCAAAAGGTAGTGATGTGATGTAAGAATTATTCTAATATTCTTTTTATAACAAAATTACTGTAATCTCAGTCACCTTGCATTCTATTTCCATATTTTAATCCCCTTGTTTGGATATAATTGTATCTCACGAGAGTTGTAATCGCGTTAGTCATTTATTTATTTACCTATTTTGAGTTCGGTTCGTCAAATGAGGAATAACTATGGTAATTTCCAACTCGATCGTTTTCTCTCTCCGCTTTCCAACCTATCAGATCATAGCTTAGTGATGGGATAGATTTCTTCCTTCAACGCTGTCCAGTCATGAATCAGACCTATGTATTATAAATCTCACGGTAGCACTAAATACTCTAAAATAGGTCGAGACAACCCTCTTCCCACATATCATGCAGATTAAAGGATAGATTATTATTATTATTATTATCATTTGAACACATGAATATTGGTACAGAAGAGCGCCAATATATATGCGCCACACAAAACAATGAGAATTCGAAGAGAAATAAAAAAAAAAAAAAACTAAGGAGCGCAAAAGAAAAAGAGAACAATAACGAAGAGATTGGTGTAAGGTAGTGTGGTAGTAACGAGGGAACGAAAGGTACAATCAGAAGAAATCTTTCAGGTAAGGAGACACAACCACTTTTTATGAAGAAAGTAAAAGAAGGTTACAGCAGGATCGCCACTGGCTTCTATTCTGAGCCATATCTGATAACGTCTCTAGCCACTGTGTAGCACCATCTCTCGGACCCCAACCAGGGAGTCGTGAAGGACCAACACAAGCCAGTCCTTTGCAGCTTTCTTTCATGCCACGACACCATGTCATGCACTGACCACCTCTCCGCTTCTTCCAACCAGTCCCAGAGTCGGCAAATAATGCACGACGTGGAATTCTCTGGGACGACATTCGGAGAACATGTCCAAGCCACCGAAGTCGGTGTTTCAAGATGGTGACACCAATTGAATTATCATCTCTGTGCCCGAACACACGATGCCGAACCTCTGCATTACTGACATGGTGTTGCCACTGAATGTCAGCAATCCTTCGGAGACAGCGATGATCGAACACAGAGAGTCGTCTAACGTCCTCAACTCGGAGAGGCCAGGTTTCACAAGCATAGAGCAAAACTGCTCTCACCGACGCGTTGTAGATCCGACCTTTTACAGCCAGACTAACATCACGAAGGCGCCAAAGGTGGCCCAGATTGGCATAAGCCGCTCTGGCTTTCACTATTCGTGCATTGATCTCATCACTCACACCCCCACCAGCACTTATGCAGCTACCCAGATACACGAACTTCTCAACTACGTCTATCTGCTCACCATCCAGGGTGAGTACAGGATTAGAATCCTGCCAGTCTTGTAGAAGTACTTTGCACTTCGAAGGTGCAAAGCACATACCATACCTACGGACACTGATTGCCAACTGATTAAGTGCGGATTGCATGCCTTGGGCATTATCGCACAGTAAGACAATATCGTCCGCATACTCAAGGTCGAGAAGTCTTTCTCCAGGCAACAGATCCACACCACCATTACTTACATTCATCAGAGCTGTTTCCAGAATGTCATCGATGGCAAAGTTGAAGAGGAATGGTGAGATTGGGCAACCCTGCCTAACCCCACTGCTCGAATGGAACAATGGAGAGAGGTGGTTGTATGCCCTCACTCTGCCTGAGGTGTTTTTATATAGGGCTTTTAGGATGTTAATAAACTTCTCAGGCACACCCTTCTTCAATAGACAATCCCAGAGAACAGTCCTGTCCAACGAATCGAAGGCAGCCCTGATGTCAAGAAACACTACGATTGTTGGCCTTTGAAAGTATGGCGGTGTTCTAACATTTGGCGGAGGGTGAAGATATGACCAGAACGAAACCCAGCCTGCTCCTCGCGAGTCAATCTTTCTCGGGTTTTGAACAACCTACGAAGAATGACGGAAGCCAATAGCTTGGACGCAATCGGAAGTAAACTTATCCCCCGATAGTTGTTACAGGAACGACGTGAACCCTTTTTAAAGATAGGGACAACTATCGACTCATTCCATGACGTTGGTACACTCTCTAGTTCCCAAACCTTTGTAAACAACGTCGTCAATTCCTTAGTCAAAAAGTCACCACCATCTTTAAAAAGAGCCGGAGGTAAGTCATCTGGGCCAGGTGATTTGTAACGCTTCAAGAGTTGGAGTTCCTTGCGGACTTCCTCCTCGTTTGGTGGATCAGTCGTCACCGGCCATGGAGGGCAGGACAGTCTGACCGATGTTGCCGGAGCAGCAGGCCAGTTGAACTGCCCTTCGAAAAATTCTGCCCATCGTCCAAGACGTCGATGGATGTTAGTGATTGGCATCCCATCATCCTCGCAGATTGTTTCACTCACACCAGACTTCTTGCTGCCAGTGGCTCGGATGAGCTGGAAGAGCTTCCGGTAGTTACCAGATGCAGCTGCTGCTTCCAGCTCATTAGCACGCATCGACCACCAGGCTTCTCGGTCCTTACGCAAGCTTTGCCCAATTTCCTTACGTAACATCCTTCGTTTATGGTCAAACTCACGGTCACCCGGAGTAGACCGACGGGCTTCAATGAGTTGTAAGGAACCAGAAGAAACCCAGTGCTTAAAAGCGGGACGTTTCGCAAACCCACAACTGACTGTTCCCGCCATTTTCATGGCGTCATGCAATTGCAACCAATGCTCATCTATACTTTTCGGTGGAGTGGTAGCTAGCCTAGAGGCTAGCTCGGTTCGATACTTACTTGCAACAGAAGTTGCAACCAGCTTGCTAACATCAATCCGTTGATGGCGGTCACTTCGTTGTCCACTGAAAAGTAAGGCAAGATTGGCGCAGACCAAGGCATGGTCAGAGTCCAGATAGGTACTCCAAAAGGAGCGGCAGTCTTGTACACAACCACGCCAGCGGTAGCTGATCGCGATGTGATCAATCTGAGTCCAGGCTTGAGATGCAGAGGGAGGACGCCAGGTGGCACATCGGCGATGACTGTGCCGAAAGTTAGTGCTAGCCAGAAACAGGTTGTGGTCTGTGCAAAGTTGCAGTAGACGGTCCCCGTTATCTGACCTGCGACCAACGAGTCCCCATCGGCCACCTAAACGACTCTCTTCTGTGCCTAGACGCCCGACCTGAGCATTCAAGTCTCCGGCTAGTACTACAATATCTGTCGAACGCACTTTCTGGAGAAGAACAGATAACTGGTGGTAAAACTCATCCTTGATTGCATCCGGGCTGCAATCTGTCGGGGCATAGGCGGAGATGACGAAAAGACATCGTTTCTCACGCCGATTTCTTCTCACTTTGATGGAACTTTCTAATCTAACAGCACATAACCGACTGTTAATGGGGATCCAATCGACTAGTGCTGCCTCAGCTCTAGCGCTTAGTGCGACACCAACGCCAGCAAGACCAGACGAAGATGCCACAGGGTCCCCGGATAAGCGCACGTAAAACAAGCTTTTCGAAGCGACAGATGGAGATCGAATTTGTAGTACTTCGCCAGAGTCTTGAATACGGGTCTCGGATAGACAACAACATCGATATTAAGACTTTCCAAAGACATAGCCAGCCCTATCTGTTGTCCGACCTGCATAAATGTGCGAACGTTGAAGGCAGCCAGTTTGAATGGTGCACGTGGTTTCAGAAAAACTGCTTCAGTCCTCGTATTCGGTGGTAACATACAATTTTCAACCGGACAGTGACTCGAGAACGTTTAGATACAGTCGAATTTCCACCAAAGACGAGCCGCTGTATAAGTATAAAAGAGGGTGAATAATGTGGAAAATAATAATAATAATAATAATAATAATAATAATAATAATAACAATAATGACAATAATAGTAATAATAATAATAGTATTAATAATGACAATAATTGTAATGATAATAATTTGAATCAATTGATTGTTTTTCAAAGCGAGAAAAGTAATTTCCATAGACATAAAGAGTTCATCATTTGTGTGTGGGCTGTGATACTGCCCGGGTGCCCAAACCGAAGCAGGTGGTTATCTTAGGGGGCCACTCCCCGAGCCTTTGACCTAAAGGTCTAACCCACAAGGCAGTGGAGCATCGTAAGGAGATGCAGTCCCATGGTAGCCGGTGACCAACGATTGGTTCATACGCCATTTGTTCCCGCAGGATACTGGAGCCCATGTGCACCATTGGTTTGGAATCCGGTTAAAGCGCCGGACATTCGCTTTTCGTCCTCTCATTTTCGTAAACAACACCCCCGCCACGAGAAGGCAATGAGTAGGACTTCCCTGGCAGAGGCTGTATACGCGTGGCCGTGTGAGAGTATTTCGAGAGGGAGAGCGGACTCTCCCCACTCTCGGCCGTAC